ATATATTCTATTTCTTTCATCTAGCAATAGTTTATCCTAAAGCCTATGATGTAATTTTGATTCATAATATGCAATGAAAAATAAATCTTAGATCCAGTTGAAAATACACATGATTTTTTGTGAAAAGAAAAGCAAAATAAGAGGTGGTGCAATGAAGATCAGTGTGAGTGAGAATACTAGCCAAAAATGGTGATTCTTAGTGTGCAGTAGTAAAACAATGTCAGCACACTGACAACTGCTGAAGAACAATGAACATGAATAACTTTGCTAAAATACTCAATATTCAACTCTAGAATTTCTCTGCTTGATTTTATCCTACTTAAAATGCTGAATTTACTTGTTTTAAATAACCTCATACTCATCAAATTTCCGAGATAAGTCTAATATATCCTATACAACAAAATCAAGAAAAAATTTAGTGTCAAAATTAGCATAATGATTCATCCTTAGTTCCATAATTAATTGCTGAATAATTTACAACCTGCATATGTTTTATAGCTTTATGTAGTGATAGGATGAGCAGGCCTGCTTTTTGTCCCACCTGGCTCACGCATGGTTAGCTTTACACCCAAAATAACAACACACAAACTCCCTGGCCCATTATTTCCAGCCTCTTATTGGCTAATTCTCACATCTTGATTAACCCATTTCTAATAATATGTGTAGCACCACGAGGTGGTGGCTTACTGGGAAAGATTCTAGCCTACATCCCTCTTGGGTCAAAGAATCATGGCGTCTGTCCCACTTCCCTTTTCCCCAGCATTCTGTTCTGTCTACTCCACCCACCTATGTTCTGACCTATCAGACCATGCAGTTTCTTTATTAATTAACCAATGAAAGCAACACATAGTATGAAGACACACCTACATCAGATTTATATTCTGACAAGCATCCTACCTAACACTGAACAATTACAGAAACTTTGCTTAAAATACAAATCATATTTATTTATTAATTTGTATTACATAAATCATATATTAATATGACACACACACACACACACACACACACACACACACTAGGTAATAAGACTTCACCAGACTGTATGACTTAACTTGAGAACAGCAACTTATCCAATGGATTTTTCAGTTATAAAAAAACCAAAAACATAATGAAAAAAATATAAACATTAATAACAAATCCCAGGACTTAAGACTCCATCAGAGTATATAACTTAAGAACAACAACTTATCCAATGGATTTTTCAGTTATAAAAAAGAATAATGAAGAAATATAAACACTAATAACAAATCACATGGCTTACTTTAATAGGAGCAAAATGTGAGCTAACATAAGCACTGTCTTACTTAGGGCTTCTATTTCTGTGAAGAAACACCATGACCACAACAACTCTTATAAAGGAAACATTTAATTGGGATGAGTTTACAGTTCAGATGCTTAGGCCATTACCTTCATGATAGGTGGTATGCAGGCAGGCATGATGCTACAGAAGTTCTACATCATAATGCTCAGGCATCAGAAATTGAACTGTCTGTAAACTGGGTGTGTAGCATCAGTATACACACACACACACACACACACACACAGCATATAGGACCTCAAAGCTGCCTCCACAGTGACATAATTCCAGCAACAAGGCCACATCACTTAATAGTGCCACTCCGTATGGGTCAAGCATTCAAACACATGAGTCTATGCGGGCCATTCCTACTCAAATCACAAGCATCAACAATTGATTCATTACTGGTTTGCTAACTTGGCAGTGACATTTTTAAACCTGCCTTTAACTTGATAAATCAATGCATGTACAAAGTTATTCACTGAAACTAGCTGGAAAAAAACACATTACCTGTTTCATCAATTTGTTGTCAGTTCCTATACTTTTTATCTAGCAGACATTTAATTTTTAAACAACTATGTAATTATGAAATTAGCATCGAGTAAATTACATGATGAAATGATAGAGAGAAACAAATTACAGCAGACAATCAACTGAATTCTCCAAAGGCAGACATTTCTTGTGAATCCCAAACACATTTCAAAAACTAGCTTAAGTACCAGGCATTCCACATAATTTTTCCTGGGTTCCTTATAAGAATATCTTCTCTCTTGAAATCTAATTCTAATTTCTATGTTTCCTGTGAAAATCAACTGTTCATCTTCTATAAGCATCTTGGTATGCATTTTTGCATTATGAATTGTTACCACCTTTGAAAATATGAGTAATGATTTAACCATCTTGATACCTTCAAAATGTTCTATTTGGAGGTATTCATGGAGGAGGTTTAGCAATTGGTGTGAAGTATAAAAATTGTATCATTAACATTCTTTTTTATTTTATTTTATTTTATTTTTTTTTCCAGACTGGGTTTCTCTGTAGCTTTGGAGTCTGTCCTGGAACTAGCTCTCGTAGACAAGGCATGCCTTGAACTCACAGAGATACACCTGCCTCTTCCTCCCGAGTGCTAGATTTAAAGGAATGCGCCACCACCACCCAACTAATTTAGGAAAAATGCAACCATTACAAAATAATTCCCTGATTTAATATTTACAGTTTCTCCTTATATCTCTTCCAATAAAAATGAATGTAAATATCGGGATCTGGTATAAAATGACTTTGATATGCAAACAACTATCAAAGATATATTATAAATGAGTAAATGAAGCAATGCAATTCATAAACTCTGAAAAGCATGTGATATATAAAGGTACTCACCTGTATATTCAAATCAAAGCCAATTTCACGGAGACTATTTATAATAATCAAGCAATTGTGGAAATACTGTTCAGGACGTCTTGGTCGTGTGTACATACTTATAAAATGAGACTCAATCTGGAAGTTAAGGCAACAGAGCTTTAATTAATGGAATAAAAACAGATGAATATAAGTTTTCTTTGTAGTGCAACAAAGAATCATTTAGATCTTAGCCTCTAAAACAGAATATTGCACTCAACACTTAAGATTAATCAAAAAGACAATACTAGGTAATACCATTCATGTATTTCAGTCAGAATAAGACCTTTAAGAAAGTAGTTTACAGGAAATAAACTTCTACTTTTAATGATTAGTTTTCCTCAGACAGGAAACTACCATTGAACATTGAAATAACCCTTACCAAAAATGGGCAATATGCTGCCAGCTGTGTAGCAAAAACAAGACCATCAAGAAGATCTGTGTCAAAATTCACTATCCATCTCTCAGGAGGAATACTTTCTATTTTGAGAAAAAGGAAAAAAAATAATATTTTAACTCTGTTGTGATATGTCTTAAAGCATTTTGAAAACAAAGAAAATTATGTCTTTATTTTAAAAAAAATATGAATTTTATAAATACTCAGTATGAGGTTACCTTTGGATGTAATACAACTAGAGTCACCTGGGAATTGTCTCAATAAAAAAGTTTCTACAGTGGATTGGCTATAGGAATGTCTGTGCATACAGAACTGTCTTACTTACATTAGCTGAAGTAGGGACACCTTACCAACTATGGCAGCCACCATTCTCTTGGGAGAGTGCAGGAATGTGTTTGAGTGGGGAAAGTGGGCATTGTAAATATGCACTCAATTATCTCAGCTCTTCAATATAGATGCAATGTGAGTATCTGTTTGAAATCCCTGCCTTGATTTGCCCACAATGATGGACTGATACCCAGTATTATAACCTGAAATACATTTTCTATACCTCTAATTTGCTTTTAGTCGAATTATTTTATCAGAGCAAAAGAAATGAAGCTAAGGTACTATGAAAAATATCCATATGGCTTAAAACCAACTACAAGGGCCAGGCAGTGTTGGTGCATACCTTTAATTCCAGCACTTGGGAGGCAGAGGCAGGGAGATCTCTGTGAGTTTGAGGCCAGCCTGGTCTACAAGAGCTAGTTCCAGGACAGGCACCAAAGCTACACAGAGAAACCTTGCCTAGAAGAACAAAAAACAACAACAACAACAAAAAACCAACTACAACAACAAATGTTTCTTAGTTCTTCAGAAGCCACTCCAAAAAAACATTTTGTGTACTAATACAACATAAATATGGTATTTTAGCACATTCCTCATCCTTCCTTCCTTCCTTCCTTCCTTCCTTCCTTCCTTCCTTCCTTCCTCCTTCCCTCCCTCCCTCCCTCCCTCCCTCCCTCCCTTCCTTCTTTTTTTGAAGGAGACTCATGTACCCCAGGGTATACTTGGGATATATATATATATACATACATACATACACATGCATATATATATACCTACACACCAC